AGTGTTGTATATATATATACATATATATATAATATTAAAACGTATTTGTGTACAAAACCAAAAACGGTGTGAATCAATCTTGTTGGTAAATAGCGTAAATTAAATTAAATAAAATACCGGCATATCTCTAAACCAAAATCCAAGGTTCGTCTCAACTATTAAAAGTTAAATTATTTAACGCGGCCTTGGATTGTTTCAAATTCTCAATACTTAACAAAGTGTAGCAACAAGTTCGCCCGCCAAATTGTACTTAATTTCTTTAAGTCGTACGCTGAATCCTTTTTGTCCGCACCTTTTTTCACACTTCAGGTGTTTTTGATTAGGTCACTTATATATGGAATCACCCAAGTAACCTGAGCTTTAAATGTGCTTTCTTTGTTTCTATGGTTCAAGAGAACATGTTTGTTTCTTTTTTTGCCTATCAAAATTTATTATTATGTTTTGTATAAATTCCCGTGGATAAGTATATTTTCTTAAAGGAGTCATCAGGTTTTCCATAGCTTTCTTTTTTGTTATTACAAACTTTATTACAATCCTATTGAGGTATCCAATAAATGCACCTATTTTTACTGCAGAGGGATGATGTGAGTGGAAATGCAAATCCTTATGTGGTATGACATAAGCAAGTGTAAGTTATATAAATAGATGAACTGTATTCAAGAACTCATGGAAACCAGTAAGAGATTCTTAATTCGTGTTCCACACTCCAAATACGCCACCTATGAATCTGAATCTCATTGGTGGGCCTAAATTCCCTCCTGTGTTTCAATTACCTATGATATACTTTCTGTCGGAGTTCCGCAAGCGGACATTATTGGTTTCAGGGGTAACCCAGACTTATGGTCTTCGGAACGACCTTAAAATTCAGGGCTCGACTGTTATGTGGTTTTAAATTATTCACTAGTTGTGGATCTACATAAGAACCTTTCCTTTAATTCATTAAAAATAATTCTGCTTTTACTTTCAAGTGTTTTAATAAAATCCCTGTTTAATTTTAGATCGTTATCTTCATTTGATAAATGAGTATCAATCTTTCGTTCATAACTATCCTTCGCTAAAACTACATATTCATTTCTTTTATCGGATTCTTTAGCTATAATGTCCATCTTACTTTTTAATTTATACGATTTATTTTCCTGAAAAATAAATTTGGTTTTATTGCGTAATTATGAAAATACTCTAAGATACTCGACACTTTTTTAAAAGTTCTGCCATGGCGTCTTCTGTTGTGTTCTGTCCTTTCAGTGCTGGTGTCTTAGGATGATCAAAACATGGGATCGAAAGTGAGGTAACTGACGGTTGGTGTTCTTCTCTTTGTTCTGACCAATCTCTATTACTCCCACCCTGGTTTCTTAAAGAATGTTTTTATCGTTGTCGTATTTTGTGGAAAGTTTGTTGTAACGATGATAAAATGTTTAATTCTTTAATATTATCTAGTCTAGTTGGAATTGTAGAATTCCGTCCTCGATTAAGCAACGGTTTAATTGCATCATCCAAGTTAATGTCATTTTGTATGGTTATATTACTTTCTTTGAGAGTTTCACATTTCTCTGATTTAACTTCGTTGATGTGACTTGTCAGGTTTTGTAAGGCTGCGGATTCTTTGCAATAAATTTCAACAATAAACGGATGGCACACAATTCACTTGTTCTAAAATAATATATTCAAAAACAAGTCAAAAGTACGTACAAAAATTCTTTACACTATTGTTTACCACAATTGAAAATAAAGCTTTAAATAATTATCTTTTTCGTCAAAAGTCCACAGAGTCTGGTTCAAATACTTTAGAACCCAATTGACAAGACGAATTATTTCTTCTGTCCTCTATTATCACAATACAATCAGTGATAAATTCACTTTCGTGAATGAATGAAAATATAACATTTATAAGATATAAGTTATTTCTGATAAACAATGAAAATAAGGCATATATATAACATATAAGTTAGTTGTGATAAACAATGAAAATAAAGTATGTGTAAGACATAAGTTAGTTGTGATCAACAATGAAAACTAAGACAAAAATGAGTTTAATTTAATGAAATATAAAGTGTGTTAGAGGGAGAATGACAAACAAATTTAGACATTTTACACTACGATTGATAATACAGAAAAGGGTGAAGATGATCTATTAGCAGACATTATACTGTTTTCAGATTGGTTTGTATTAATAATTCTCCCTGCCCCCCAGTGGCACAGCGGTATGTTTGCGGACTTATAACGCTACAATCCGGGTTTCGATACCCGTGGTGGGCAGAGCACAGATATCCCATTGTGTAGCTTTGTGCTTAATTAAAAACAAAAACAAATTAATAATTCTTTTAACGAACAGAGTTGTGATACTGGATTTAGCATCAAACTTTGGCGGTAAATGTTATATATATATATATATATACGTCCAGAGGCACGTAAAATTGAACGTAACATATTCAATGCTGCAGAATAGAAGTCTCTCAGTAGCTTATAACTCTAAATTCGGGGTTCAATACCTGCGACATATAAACACCGATAGCTCATTGTGTAGCTTTACGCTAAAGCAAACAAACATATAATGTAGCATGAACACTAAATAACCAATGAACGCTTACCTTTCGGTACGCTATCTCTAAATTTATATGCTATTTTGGCCACATAGCTGTGCTATTTTGGCAACCTAGGATCCCAGTTGTAGGAATTTAAGTAAGCAGACAGGCTGTGTTACTGCATTGTTCAAGGTGTTATACTGGATCCTCCCTCAGAAGTTGGTCGCTTCACTTCCTTTGGATAGGCGTTTGGCTAGACTCCAAAACTGACGTCACGATGTTATTATGACTAGACTACGGTTTGGAGCTTGCTGTGTAAGACATACTTTACACAAAATTGGACTGACTCATTCTTCTTCTTGCTTCTTTTTTTCTTTTTTTTTTGCAAGTACTGTATAGAGACTATTGTTCTTGTGATTCTTACTTTTTGTCTATACTGTAGCACATCTAGTCCTTAACAAACTGTCCTATTTTATGCCACACTAAAAGAACATATTGATGTAATTTGGTTTCTGGAGATCTGAACACATGTAAAAATATATTTTATTGACATTTCACCAGGTTGTTTTTCTATACTTGAATCTCGGTAGAACTTGTCTGTTGATGTACCGAAAATCCTCCTGGATTTGTAACACACAACTGAAGCCAATCCAGGATAAATTTTAGAACAATATTTTCAGCAGAAGGAGAAGGCGCCAGACGAAGCGGTAGACTTTCTATTATGGCGAATAAGAAAAACGAAATCACGTTGCTGATAAAATAGAATAAGTTTTGACAATGGAGGTAATGAAGGTAAGCGTGTGCTCTTTTATAGCTAACAGAATGTTGGAAGGCTATAATAACTTATCCAACTCTCCCGAGCAGGGCTGAGTATAATAAATAGGGAAAAGGCGTTCTTCATATTTGCGTTTTATATATATATAGTCATACTGGTGCGGTAACTATCCAATATTAAGGAAATGTTTCTATCTGCCTGTGGACATATCCCTTCCTAAGCGAGTTGACCGATCAGACCAAACTTATTATATTAATTTAGTGCTCCAAAAGGAAGTCCAATTCATATTAAACTTTCCCATTTATTGAAAAATAAAAATATTTCATAGAATAAACCCTATATCGTTACTGCAGTGGCTATTGTAAATAGTTGAGTTTAAACAAAACTCACACCATGATAAAATTCTATAAATCAAAGATTGTAAATAAAATTTTCAGTATTTAAGATTGTTTCCCACAATAACCAAAACATACAGTAATAAAATATCAATCTACATCGGAGAATAACGATATTGCTACTGTTTGAGTATGCCGTTCTTTCCTACTACCCCATGGCCAGGTGGTTAAGGCACTCGACTCGCAATCTGAGGGTCGCGGGTTCGAATCCCCGTCACACCAAACATGCTCGCCCTTTCAGCCGTGGGGGCGTTATAATGTGACGGTCAACCCCACTATTCGTTGGTAAAAGAGTAGCCCAAGAGTTGGCGGTGGGTGGTGATGACTAGCTGCCTTCCCTCTAGTCTTACACAGCTAAATTAGGGACGGCTAGCGCAGATAGCTCTCGTGTAGCTTTGCGCGAAATTCAAAACAAACAAACAATCCTGATACTCACCATTCAACTTTCCGTTTATACTAGGGTTAGAATAAGCGCTTAAGTCTGAGTTAGAGAGTATTTCATAATTAAAATATTTTTAGGATATTTGTTACTTCTTGATGTAGAATATATTTTCCGTAGAAGATAAATTCAAGATAATTTTTAAATTTCATGCATTAAATGTACCAAATTCAGACAACAGAAATATTGACCACATCTCTACTGTGAAATGGGCTGCCTTTAACAAGAAGTGCCGCAAATGCTTTGCCATTTCTGCCAAGTTTCTCGAGTTGACTGTTACACCATTTCACTTCCGATCCACTTCTCTTGTCTTACAACAATTTTCTCGGAGAATGAAAGAATGCTACTGAAAATCATCGCAGAGATTTTGGTCAATTTTAGCCAATATTTGCGTGTTTTCAAGAGAAAAATGGCTTAGGAGTGGCGCAGTGTCCTTAAAATAACCTGCAAAACTTTTAAGGTAAGACATTTAAACTGCATTACAAGAGCTTCCAAAAAAAAAAGCCCATTATGGACTGAAAGTTCACTTTTACTTGTAGACTTTCACCGGATCTGTCGGGCTTTCACCAAAGGCAGAGCTGGGTCTGCAATTTCCCGCTCAAAAATTAGTCAAGTTACATATCTACTTAATTTGAACATGCAGAATAATTTTTTGTTACTTGTCCTTCTCTATTCTTTTTCTTAACGTTCTTCTTACATTCGGAATAACCCTTTTCATCATTCTTCAGTTAACTGTCACTGAGTGTCAAACTTTCCACGACTTTTTTCTAATGCCTTGAGGAGTGCCAGGACCAGAAGTTAGTCATATTCTTTGTCTACTAACCTCCTTGGTTTAATTATAATTTGTTTTGTTTTTCGGGCCTTCTGATGATCCCCCTTTTGCTGAATGCTTTGGAATGATTTCTAGCATCTCTCCAAAAGTATATTTTGTAGAAATACATAAGGATTGTTCCCCTGTCAAGAACATCATATGTTAGCTCTATTCATCAGTGTAAAGGTAATTTTTAGTAAACACTTGGAGCACTGACGTGACCTTTTTAGGAATGGTCCTTTTTTAAATGTGCTAATTGTTGTGGTTGTGACGGTAATAGATTTGAGTACTGCCCAAAATTACTTGAGGTATAATATCAATCAGATGAGAAGAAGCATCTGTTTTATTCCATTTAGAACCTGGAAAATTTAACGTTTTAATTATTTCTTGAAGTTTGACTGTTTTTCATTTCCTAACCGGGAGGTATTTTGTTGAAAAACGTATCCAAATTGAGCTCCCACTTTCTTTCATAATGGCATTCAATTCTGAAGCTTTCAATACTGTGTCAAAGGCTAATAAAGTATGTGTTAATTTCCCTGCAAGATCTCAGGCTAATAACACATATGGGAACTTCCTTGCAAGATCTAAGACTAATAAAGTAAGTGTGAACTCACCTGTAAGATCTAAGGCTAAAAAAAGTATGTGGGAACTATTTTGCAGGATCTAAAATTAATAACGTATTTCTGAATGCTCCTGAAGGCTCTAAGGCCAATAAAGTATGTGGGAACTTCATTTTAGTATCTAAGACTAATAAACTATATGTGAATTCTCCTCTATACTCTATGGCTAATAAAGTATGTATGAGATCCCCTGAAGGTTCTAAGGGTAATAAAGTATGTGTGAACTCCCCTGTAGAATTTAAGGCTAATAAATATGTGGGAACTCCCCTGTAGGATCTAAAGCTAATAAAGTATGTATGAACTCTCCTGTAGGCTCTAAGGCTAATAAAATATATGGGAACTCCCCTGCAGGCTCTAAGGCTAATAATATATGTGGGAACTCCCTTACAGACTCTAAGGCTTGTTACAATCTTACTTATCTTTACAAAGTGACAAATTTCACTGTTACCATACAGGATCCGTTTCGCATAACATTATCTTAAAAGGACTTCTTTTGCTTTAATTACATATACACACCTGCTACGGACATAATAATTTTTAAACATGATAATTTTACTTGTTATAGTCAACTTGCAATGCATGTATTTTAGATGTTGGCCGCTTGGTAATAACACTATCGTACGAAATCTTAAATCTCTGATACACTAATGATATTTGTTAGTTGCAAACAAACATTTCTGAGGAATATTTTTACTGCACTTGCATTCCAACATTAAAGTATATGATACCTTTTGCTCCATTGGCAGCAAAACCTGGTGATGTTCAGTTACCAAGAGCTAAGTTTTATCTCTCATAATCCCTGTATAGATGGAGCGTGTCTCAAACGTTGTACAACGCTTTACAGCAACAGAGCATGTTATTAACTAGAACTGATATCATCTGAACTATTATAATTCTTACTTGAATTTCCATCACTATGAGACGGTTTCACTTTCAACAAATTCAAGATCTTTTCAAAGCACATTTGATTTTTTTAAAGACTGTCTCTTAGTATAACTTAAATAAATAAAGGAATAAATTTCATACTTATTTCATACCCAAAAACTACTGTAAGTGGCATGCAAATATTTAGAAGTGATGGCTGCTTATTGCAATTAGTAAATGTGTTTGTCATACATTACAAAATGTTGGTGCAATTCAAGTATAGGATATTTTTACAATGTATTTCTTTATATTTAAATGAATGGATAGAAAAAAAAACACACTTCTGCTATAGGGTTTTAGAACCTGTTTATAGATTTTTCAATTGCCCTTATATTTACGAAGCAATCCAAGCAGGGGGGACGGTAAGAGAGGGATTGCTGGAGCCAAAACTACCTAAAAATGTGCATTAGCCTTCCCTGTAGCTCCTGCAACCTATGTTTTCTCTAGTTCACCTCAGCCCCCTCACTGGGAAGAAGCTAGCGCCGTCCCTGAGATCAGATGAAAAATAGCTAGATTGATCTATTCATTATAAAGATTCTTCGTGCTTAACAGCATCAAAAACGCATATCATGGAATATCTTGTAGATTTATTTTGGTGGTGGGAATGAGGCAAAGTCAGACAATCGGAAATTGATCTGAACGGTAAACTGACGCTAGTGCTTTTGTGTTATTCAGGTACAGTTATTTTTGATACGTGAAATATAACACTTCTGCAATAAGCAGCAGATCCAGAAAATGTTTTTTCAAAGAAGAAGAAAATTATCACAACAGCAAAGGAAAAAAGGAGTCACACAAAAATTATTATTTGTCAATACGAACTGGGGCTTTTTCGCTGTTGATTGGCTTCCTTCACTATTGGTTATGTGACTTTTTGCCACTAGAGCAGAAATGAAATATAGAAGAAGGCTGAAATAAGAACGACGACACACTTTACTGTCAGAACGGAAGTTTTTAGATCGATATTCCGCAGTCGTAGTTACTTACATAAAACGAACATTCCTATTATACACATTCAAGTGAGAGAAACCCCAGCTCATTCGAATTTTCACGTATTTCCTCCGTGTCTAAACTTTAAATTCGAGCCCAGTGGCTTAAGTATTGAAGTACTTCAGTGATACTTTGTGTTATGAAGTGGTTCATCCGGGTGATTTAGTGATTCGTCATTATGAAGTATAAAGTAGCTCACCCGGGTGATTTAGTGATCCGTAATTATGAAGTATAAAGTGGTT